GAAGATGAGCTGGGACTCGGCGAGTTGGAAGAACAACTCGGCGAGTAGGTTGATGATAGCCTTAGACTTGGCGAGTCTGTTCTTGGACTCGGCGAGTCTTGTCGAAGGGTCCCGATATTCTCTGGTTGAGTCGAGAATCGGTGAGTCGAGGGATGACTCGGTGAGTTGTGTGCGAGTGGACTCAGAGTTGTTGGACTCGGCGAGTCTCGGGGTGACTCGGCGAGTTAGGTCGCGGATTGAGTGAAGTTCTGATTATGGGAACTCGACGAGTCACAGGGTTGACTCGGCGAGTAGGGTCAGTCAGGGGTTGACTTTGACTGAGGACTTTGATTTTGACCAAGGGTTGGCCGTTGACTTTTAGGGTTTGGTCAGCGATGTGGCCTTTGGGCCAAGAGAGGGGTAAAATAGTCTTTTACCCTTAAGAGGGTGCCATGAGAGGATTGATTCTAGTCTCGAGAGTTATATTCATGAGAGTATTTGCCTTACGTGTTAGGCGGTGGCGAGTTGAGATTTAAGTGTGGGGATATCTGCTTTCTGCTTGCCAGGTGAGTCTTCTCACTATACTTTACCTCGAGTAGGTAACCAGAGTTATGTGATCAGAGTATTTGTATGCTATATGTACGTGATGTGTTGTACTGCATTACTTCTATGTGATTTATGCTGTGCATGTTTATAGAGTTGGAACCGGAAGGTTCCCAGAGTTAGAACCTGAGGGTTCACAGAGTTTGGGTGCACGGACCCATAGAGTTATAGCCTCGAGTGGCTAATATGTGTTATGTGTGGTATTTTGGGGAACTCACTAAGCTTCGTGCTTACAGTGTTTTGTGTGATGTTTTTCAGGTTTCTTTCAGTATCACGGGACGGCACCGGCTTGATTGTACACACCAGAGAAAGAGTCATATTTTGGAGGATCCTGGTTTTCTATGCAAGTGAAAATGGAGTTATGTTTTGTAATTCGACTATGAATGAGATTTTAAACAAGCGTTTCTAAGAATAAAATGATTATTTTAAATGAAAATTTTGTCTTGAAATTTACGGTGTTACATTAAAATTATGCGGAGTATTTTTTTTAAAGATATTTGCTTGGAATTTTGGTCCTGATTTAATTTTGGCATGAATGCTTGTACATTTCATCGGATAAATCAAGAGAACAATGTTGATGAAATAATTTCTCGCTCCAACTATTCATGAAGGTTAAGTAAGTGATTAAGGGATCAAAAACCAATCGGTCAACCACCTTGATTTGGATGCTTACTTCTTTGGATTCTGATAACAACTCATAGAAGTTTTATAAACATTAATTAATGGGTTATAGACAAAATTGGGAGGTGATATCACCCTCAACCTACAGTTTGTGCACAAATTGAGCCAATTTCCCATATGTACTCTCATGTGCTAAAAATACACACAGCATGGGCTAAAGAGTAATAACATCTAAACTGTAAAATAATTGATTGATTGATCCTCAAAAGGCAATTACATAAGAATATATCAAAAATACCTAAAGTCTAATGGTTAAACCCTAAAGGGCTTGGGTCTAAACCCTAATCACTAACATCCCGCTGCAGTTTGATCAGGTGGAGACGATTAAATTGGAAAAAAAAAAACATAAAAACTAGATGAAGACAGCGGTATCGGTGGTCATAGAGCTCTAACAATGGAAACCATCTTGAGGTATAAATTCGTTACCTTGATCTTTAGTTGCTTAGATCCCTTTTCTTGGTGCAAAATGGAGTCATACTCGGACCTGGACTTATCACAAGGATATGGTTCCAAATCTGGACCTTTCTAGGTCCCTAATGACATAAAGTTGCTCACTTTATCCAATCTAGACCCTTTCCATGCACAAAAACCTTGTAGGAAGCTTAGTTTTGAGGTTATAGCCTTGGAAGACCTTGCATGCATATAAAGTTTGCAACTTTACGTGGTAACTGCACTAAGGGAGGTTAGATCTCAAGTTTGGGACCTTAGACCCCACTAAAAAGGGCTGGACACAAATAGGACTGAAGGAACTCATCGAGTCCCTTAGTTGACTCGACGAGTCGAGGTAGGGTTTGCTCGTTTTCGAGCTTCTGAATGAGTGCAATGAAGGATTAGAGTTCTGGTCAGAATGGACTCTAGGTTTTCTGGACATTTGATGAACTCGACTCAGCGAGTTGAAGTATTATTCAGTTAACTCGACGAGTTGCTGGATGCACTCGATGAGTTGAGGTCAACATGGACTTTTGACCTTGATTGTTCACCTTGAATTTAACTAGGGTTGAAATTGAGGATAATTATGGTATATCGGGATTGAGACAAGTTAATACATGATGATTATAGGCGGTTGAGTTGGAGTAGTGCGTGGAATATTTTTTATCTTAGCTTGTCAGATCAGCATTTGACAGGTGGGTCTCCTCACCATACCAATGGGTCTAAGGCACCAAGGCCGGCCCATTTTATGATATGTGATACACTAGCTGATGTTATGTTATGAGGCATGATAGTTGGTTATGTGCGATGAAGTATGTTAGTTGTATATGTGGTATGTTTGTATGGAAGACAAGGGGGAGAGCCCATGGCCCTTGGATGTAAGAGCATGTGGAGAGTCCATGGCTTTCCTACTAAAGACCATGGGAGAGCCCATGGCAACCGAATGTAAGACCATGTGGAGAGCCCATGGCTTTCCTATTAAAGACCATGGTAGAGCCAATGGCACTTAGGTGTAAGACCATGTGGGGAGCCCATGGCATCCTAGAGTAAGACCCTGGGGACGAGCCCATGGCATCCCTATATGTTGTATGCATGGCTTATGTGATATATGTGGCTTTCATAGCTAATATGATATGTGATATGTGGATTGTGTGTAGGGTATGCTATGGGGTACTCACTAAGCATTAACTTATAGTTTGTGGATTTGTTTCAAGTACATCTGATCCCAAGGGTAAAAACAAGGCTTGATGGCGCGGCGTGCACTCTCTCTCATGCGTTATTATGGGAGACTCTGATGTTTTGAAATAAAATTGTTGTTGTTATGAATTTGAAAACAATTGTATTTGGGAGTTCATGATTTGTGGAAAGTATTTTGGTTAATTAAAAATGAAAAATTTCTTTTGAAAATCTGGGTTGTTACACTTTTCGTGGAAATAAGGATCGTTAGAAACAAACTTATAACCAAGAAGTTACGACCTTTGAAAGTTTGGTGATTTTAGGGTTTAACCGGTTATACGGGGCGTACACAAGTGTACGCATGGTCTGCTAGTTAGAAAGCCAGTATGAGGGACGCACATTGGCGTACGTTTGGTGTATTAAGCACAATGATCGCGGTTCTTTAAGGATTACGCTGGGCGTATTAGAAGTACATTGGGCGTACTCCAATTAGTCCTAAACCCTAATTTAGGGTCTTGGACCCTACTTAAGCCTCTTAACTCACCACCGGACCCTATTATCTTTAGCCTCTCCAACTTGAGGGGGAGTGTTGACCAGAACTCTTAGTTATGGCATAGATTGGGATTGATCCTTTCCTATCGGTCCTTTGTATTGTATTTATCTTTTTTGTAAATAGAGTATTGTTTCCTTAATTCTCATTGTACTTTGTGTCTATATACATAGCTCCATAGAAGAATGAAGTTATGTTGTTCCCAATCTCTCTTCTAATTCTACATTCACTATATAAACAACTTTCATGAAACAAACAAAATGTATAAATGAACAAATAGAACATATATTAAAGAAAATGTAAATTCCAGATGAACAAGTACAATCAAGCACATTAGAGACAACATTAAGTCAATAATTTGAAAACTATAAAATAAAAAATGCTCATCATTTATACAAGAATAAGGTAAATATTATAATATAATAAGACCTCACACTCAAACTCAAACTCTGAATGGGTGTTATATGTTAGCAAAGAAACTAAGCACCATTGCCACTTTTCCATGGCTTGAGCACACCAACAACTACTAATGCAATAATAATGAGTGAAATAAAAAATAGCAAGGATTTGAACCGGAAAAAATAATAATTCCTGTGAATTCTTTTTTTATAAACAAAATACCCATTAGATCTTTTGGTATAATAAAGGTAGCGAATCCCCTCAATCCAATTGCAATTGATTCTATTACCACAATAAGAATTGAACCTCTAATTGCTATCACATAAAAAATGCACGTGCTTGTTACAATCCATAAACATCTCTTTAAACAAAATTCGAATTTTGCATCTGATGAGAACAACCCGATTAAATTCTGCAGACCCGAAAGAAAGACCATATCCAATCTCTATCATACTTCAAGTTGCAATTTTTAGTACTAACCAAAAAAAGACAAATACATGTAAAGACAAATTCTCGAGAACATCACAGTGTAAAATAGATGAAACAAATTGAACCCATTCTGAATTCAAACGAGTCAAGATGAAACTGACCATATTTGCTATTTCAGGCACCTGAATCATGAAGCTTATGAAATATGTGGAAGATGGTGGTTTTTCTATGTTGGGTTTAGCGGGAGAGGGTGTCAATTTGAAGTAGCCGTACTTGATTTAAAATAGTTGTATTTGAATCTAACTGTGAGCCGTATTAGAATGGATGGACAAACAACCTCGCCACTTCATTCAAATAAGCAAATATTTGATTAAGATTTAAGCCCTATTAGATTTCCATTTCACTTTCTCTAGTATGGGATACATATATTAGCCGTATTCTGTTAGTCTTTATCTAGTACAACATTATTGATAGTACATGTCATTCTCTTGGACTTCCAACCTTTTGGGAAGTATGTAGGCCTGAGAAGTGGATGTGGATGAAAAGGTTTATGATTTTATTGATGGTTTGAATTGAACTCTTTATTATATTAAACATATAGTCTTTGCTAAAATCATGACCGAAGAAAGTCACCAAATTGTTTGTCGAGCAATTAAATTAAGGTTTATTCAAAGATGATGTTACAATCCATCAAAACTAAAGTTCTAAATTCAATGGAGTTTGGAGGCCCTAATGATGATTACACCTGCAAGAGTTATGTTTTCCATTTGGAAAAATCTTGACCCGAGTAACTAAAAAAACAATCGGGTGAAAATATTCTCGCAGCCTTTCTTCCGCTACAACAATAACGGTGCGCCACAGATAATTCTTGTAAACATTTATCACACAGCTCCCTGGATAAGTCAGCAGTACACTGCATAGCCCCATACACAGGTTTATTTTCATAATCTACCTTAAATTCAGACTTTTTATCGGTAGTACCTCGGGATGCGTCCAACTTTAATCTATTCATTAAAAAAAACATAAGGTTGTCAAACTGATCTGGCTTATTCGCAAGACTTCCTGCTTGTTTATCTGGTAAACTGAACCGAGACCAATCATCAAGAGATCCTAATATTTTACGATCAGAGAAATGTATCATACAATTTGAACCCCACATCACAGCCTCTTTTTGATCCAAGCACTTGATTGTAAGTTGAACAGTCAACTTGTGTATACTTCCACCACAATGAGTAGAAATACCGGAGCAAAGGGCCATGACATGTGCTGCTTCGTTCACGCCTATGGATGAATTGAATGATCCGCCATTATAGTGTCCATATTGCCGACTGTATTCAATGCGACTCTGAGGTTTCTGCTGTAATCAGTCCTTGTTATGTAGTTGCCTGTGTCTCTGCATTTGAAGACGGGCTTTGGGGGGAATTGAGCTATGACAAGAGTAACAGTGTTGATGATTGCTTGAAGAAGAAACGGTATTGAAGTTATAGATTTCATTTTTCGTTTGTTGATCAAGATAGTAGTTAATGTGTGGGTGGGGCTTATTGTTCTTATACACCAAATTACCAAAATCAATCGTTGTCAAATGTTAGATATCTTCAAGTAGAGTTACGTATAATTATTATATTTGTTTGATTGTTGTAAATGGTGAGTACCTCAAATAAAGTTTAACTTCTATAAATGGTGAGATACCTCAAAATAAAGTTTAACTTCTATACGGGTTTAGTTTTTTAACCAAAGGTGATGGGATGGGAGTAGGAGTACCAGTCGCTTTTTCTTTTTTTTTTTTTAAATTTAAAAATAAGTTGATTTTATTTGATGGTTTTAAACATTTAAATATGGTATTTGTTTGGCATAAATTTTAAATATGGTATTCTTTTCTTCTGTTTTTTAATATCATATATACTCCTTTTTTTTTTTTTTTTTTTGATATTTTTAACATTTAATAATCTTTATTTTTTTATATTCTTAAAACATTATAATAAAAATAAAAGGTTAGTGGACCATAATGTCCTTAATCCTAAATGCCTTTTCACTACCTCGATACATCAATCGTATTTCTCCCCACCCCCTAAAATCCCTAATTGCTTGTTCGTCTACCTTGAACACAAGGAATATTGTCGATTATTAACATTCATTATGAAGCGCTTCACAAGCATTCATGTTGTATTGATGAATTCTCCATCTGGGTTTTCTCCAATTGCAGGTAGTGACCAGGGCCAGTCCATTGTTTTTTGCTACCCGGAGTGAGATAAAAAAAATTTATGCCCTTATATATAAAAAATTTAGAAAATCAAAAATATAGTAAATTTTATAATCAAACAATCAATACAATACAAACAAAACCTACAAAAATAATCTAAATCGTTGTCTTCGTGCATTTTTGAAGCAAAAACATTTCTTATTTTACAATAATCAATATTTTGTAAAAAATCACTTTCAATACTTACAAGTGATAATCCATTCAATCTTTCTTGAGTCATAGTACTTCGGAGATACGATTTCAAAAGCTTCAATTTTGAAAAACTTCTTTCCGCGGAAGCAACCATAACCGGCACTGTCAATAAGATCCTATATGCAACCAAAAAATTAGGGAATATATCCATTCTTCTTGCATACTCCATTATTCACATTTGTATGCTTCATTCGGTAACATTTTCTGCAAAATTTGTAACTTAATAAATAAACCAATTCCATCAATATCACATTCTTCACCACTTGTCAAGTTGGACTCAAGATTTAAACAACAATTTTTTAATTCATCATCATTTAAAGAAAACTAATTTGGAACCATCAAATAAAAAACCAAATATAGATTCAAAATATTGCATTTGTTCAAATCTACTTTTCAATTGAACAAGAGCCATATCTACTATAACAATAAAATAATCTCTTTTAAATGCTTCTTGAGAAGATTGACGTTCTCTTTCGGTATTTGGAATTTCATCAAATTGTTTTTTTCTTTTATAAACACGTTTTTAAAAAAATTCGGGTTTAACTTTAACAGTATTTGCTATTTCTTTAGCTTCACTAATAACAAAGTCAAACCCACTTTCCCTATATCCTTCAAAATAATTAATTAATTAACCCCTCCAAATTTTTTACAGCAACATCAATAAGCATTTCTTTGGATTGTAACTTTTTACTAACCAAATTAATTTTGTATAAAACTTCATACCATATAACTAAACTTAAAATAAACTCAAAACTAGAAAATTCACCATTTACTAATGAATCAACATCTCTACACACTTGTCCATTATCACTTTCTTTAGATAATTTTTTTTTAAAGCTTTTCTTATTTGGGAAAATTGTGGTTTTATTGCTTTAACACTTTCAGTATGACTTTCCCAACGAGTAGATGATAATGATTTAAGTGTTAGATCATCTATAAATTGAAGTAAAACACTCCATCTTTTTGTTGAATTAGAAAAAACATTATAAATCGTTTGACATGTACCAAAAAAAGTTTTTGCCTTATGACAAGAATTTGCAATATCACATAAAACCAAATTTAAACTATGACATCCACAAGGCATATAAAAAGCTCTACTATTTATATCAGGCAATCATTTTTGAACACCTTGGTGTTTTCCTTTCATATTTGCCCTATTATCATACCCTTGACCACGATTATAATTAATATCCAAATCAAGAGATTTTAGAGCATCTTGTAAAACATTAAAAGATCTAGACCGGATGTATCTTCTACATTTAAAAACTCTAAAAAAATCTTCTACTTTTAATGGAACATTTTCCAAATCTACACATCTTATAATCAAAGTCATTTGTTCTTGGTGACTAGCATCCGGAGTGCAATCAAGAATTACAGAAAAATATTTTGCATTTTTTATTTTTTTAATAATTGTACTTTTTACCTTGGATGCCAACATATCAATTAATTCATTTTGAATTTTATGACTAAGATAATGATTATGTGTTTCTTTGTCTTTAATCATTCGAAAATGTTCTTTCATTACCGGATCCCACTCAGCAATTGATTCAGTTACACTTAAAAAATTACCATTTGAGTTTTCATAAAATTTTTCATTTGTACCACGAAAAGCTAAGTTATTTTTTGCTAAACATTTGACAACAGAAATAATTCTAACCATAACTTCTTTCCAATGTTCAGTATCTTTTTTAATCATTTCTTGTAACTCTTTATCAATTGTTTCATTTTTATTTAACCTAATATGCGTTTCAGTCCAAGTTCTTAAACAAACCATATGATCAGATTCAGAACTATTTTCATATTGTTTTAATGTTTCACTAAGATGCTTCCAATCTTTAATTCCTTCAGTTGCCAAATTACTTTTGGTTCGAACGGTTTTAAAAAGTTTACAACAAAAACAAAAAACTTTATCAAGTTCTTTTGAATACACTAACCATTTTCTATCAAAACAATCACCATTTTTTAATTTACGTGTATAAAAATCAAAAGAAAAAAGTCTACCAAGTGCGTTTTTTTGAAAAATTATGTTTGTATCAATTTCTCTATTTGGCCCTTTTTCTATTAGTAAATCTTTCATTTCTGAATCTAAATCATCCGCTCTAGGATCAAAAATATTAAAATCACTTGGTTTGTCTTTGTCAAGAAAGTCATTTTTATCAAACTCATTAGAAAGATCAATTGAATCATTGGAAGTACTTGGTGGAATATTAAAATTATCATTTTTTTCAAAATCACTAACATTTTGATTTCTAACCAAAAATTTATTCAAAGACCCTCTTAATTCATTAGCCTCTTGTTGTTCCTTTTTTTTTCGTTTTCTATTTTGTGCACCAGATGGTTGTTTTCGGGGAATCATATTTAAAACAAAACAAATCTACTTATAAACACTAAACAAGGATTGAAGGAAAGATACAACCTGAACAAGAACACACAGCAACAAAATTTGAGCAACCTTCACAGCTTCACAGTTGTCAAATATCATAATAAAGAAGCCTCCTAATTCCTGATTCACATCACAAAAACAAGAAACAAAAACACAAAAAGTTTACAAAAGCAAATGTACATATATTAAAATGAAACAAACAACAATAAAATTGAATTAGAAGAAGAGTAGTAAAGAACTCACCTAAATCAGAAAAAATCAGAATCACAGTGCTTTTTCATTTTACAACTTTCACTTTTCATATATGCCTTCTGATTTTAACCTTAAACATGAGAGAAATCCAATCTTAAATCAAAATCAAATAGAATGAAAAACATAATCATATAGAATGAAATACATAATCAGAAGACTAGTAGAGAAGTAAAGAACTCACCAAAATTTAAAAAATAAAAAATAATAATAATAATAATAAAAAAAAATCAGACCATGCTTTTTCGATGTTCAGCTTTCAGATATGCCTTTAAGCCTCCTGATTATGTATTCACATCACAAAATCAACCATTGAACCAATCATTTAATCAGATACAATGAAATTTTAATGATTCATGTCGGGAATTTTAGAAAGAAATAAGAAACAACCATTAAGTGTCTTTCAAACTACACATAACACACTTGTATTAAATTATTCTATTAATACAATGGATGATGTTGTTTCTTGTTTACTATTTTGCATTGATACGATACTGTACATGACGTCCTCCGCCCCTGAACATTTCCGCCGTTTTGGTTTGGGGGTGTGACACAAGGCCACCAGTAATCCTTTTTTCAAGTCCGAATACATCTTGGTGACCCTGAGATGGATCGAGAATCTTGAACTATGCACCTCCCCCATTAGTATACGCTGACTGAGGACTTTGATTTTGACCAAGGGTTGGCCGTTGACTTTTAGGGTTTGGTCAGGGATGTGGCCTTTGGGCCAAGAGAGGGGGTAAAATAGTCTTTTACCCTTAAGAGGGTTCCATGAGAGGATTGATTCTAGTCTCGAGAGTTATATTCATGAGAGTATTTGCCTTACGTGTTAGGTGGTGGCGAGTTGAGATTTAAGTGTGGGGATATCTGCTTTCTGCTTGCCAGGTGAGTCTTCTCACTATACTTTACCTCGAGTAGGTAACCAGAGTTATGTGATCAGAGTATTTGTATGCTATATGTAGGTGATGTGTTGTACTGCATTACTTCTATGTGATTTATGTTGTGAATGTTTATAGAGTTGGAACCGGAAGGTTCCCAAAGTTAGAACCTGAGGGTTCACAGACTTTGGGTGCATGGACCCATAGAGTTATAGCCTCGAGTGGCTAATATGTGTTATGTGTGGTATTTTGGGGAACTCACTAAGCTTCGTGCTTACATTGTTTTGTGTGATGTT